CTTGGCCGTTCACAGAGCCGGATGTCGCAACGGCGCCACACATGTCTCAAGTTGGCAAATGCCACCAGAGCCTTCTGTATGCGAGCTGACACTATATCCGTGATGCGTCCAGCGGGTGAGATGTAGCTGCCCAGATAACAAAACTTATCCACTTGTTCTATTACTTCTTTCTCAACAAGGCAGAATGCTTGAAAAAGGTATGCATGAACACTTAGATTATGTATTCTGTGTGTTGAACATAGAGGTTCTTTTTCTTTGCCTCCCTCCAAGTAGGCCCAATCCCTCTCCATCTTTTGCTTTATCATTTGATTTGTGTACATTGTGAGCTTGGCAACGATCAGTGAAGCTCGCTTCACTGTATCTCGCTGTACGATGATGATGATTACTTCTCCAGTTAGAGTGAGGCTCGGTGCTGGACCGACCCAATCTTGTAGTAACATTTTACACTTTGAAGGTGCAAAATGAATATGCCTACACTAGCACTGAAACTACCAGTAAAGCTTACAACTTACCTGTATCTTTACTTAATAGCACAATGTCGATGCTACTATCCTCGCACAAGGATAGGGCTGTTTCCATTATCAAATTCATAACAAAATTAAATACAAAAGGAGGGGAGGACAACCCTAACGAACACCACTTTCCGTGGTGAAAACAGATAGCAGAAAGCAGATAGAAAGCTAGTAAGAATTCATCATTTTCATCGTACAGCGAAATAAAGAGAAGCCAACTTCACTGATCGCTGCCAAACGCTCAATGCATATGGATTGGGGTTTAATGGACGGGTACTACTAGGGTGTCCAGCCACTAAGCAGGAGAACGATTAGGGTTCTCAACCAAAGCCTTTAGTTCTGGCAAGAACTTAACCACAAGGCAGTGGGTGCAGCGAAGTGGAGGCCCATTTACCTGGATAAATCACCCCCCCCCACCATTTTTTACCGACTAAAACGCAAATCCTAGTCAAACCCCCTATCTGGACGAATAGGGGACTGGACTTCCTCTGACCTCTACCCTTCGACCTTCCAGGCGTGATTAGATCTTCGGCTTGAGAAATTCATCCTGGGTAGCTCGTTGGGCCAGAGAGGTGCACAAGCCATCACCACGTCAAGGTGCAGAATTGTGTAGTAGTTTTAACATTTCTCATCAGCAGGAAGAACCCAAATGAACGCTAGCATTTTACCCGTTCAATTATCAGGCAACAGATTAGACTGTTTCACTTTGTTTACGTACGATAATTATACGCAATTTTGTAGGTATAGTGATGAGATTTGCGATGCACATTGTCCGATTAGAACTAGTAATTATCAGTCACCAAGACTGAATTCCTCACATCTGTTTTCCCTCAGGATTTGCCTCGTTTGTGTTTGTTTTCACTCATTTCCGGTTCATCTATCCGAAGTACGGCAACTGTAGTCGTATCTTTAGTTCTTACAACCATCAGCAATGCAGTTTCGTGCGACAGTTTTGGTTGCTGTCTTAATTTACCGTTTGGACGAAGGAGTAAAGGGAAGATTGGAATGTTCAACTCAGTGTGAAAGTGAAAATAGAGAATTCATGAGGACTAAGGTTTCAAAGGATAATGAGTCGCTACACGAGAGTCACGGTTTACGGCAATCAGTTATATCACTCATTGTCTCTAACCGTTGATAGTTACTAATCGTACAGGCTGCACTAGTTTCCATTTTCTCTTCCGTTCTTTAATGTTTTTCGGTTTTCACTGCGGCACTTATCTGCTGTTAGCTGATGGCTGTGAAAGTTAAACAGCCATATTATTATCACTTTTCAGCTGTGCCCGGCCAATGCAATAAAGGCACGTAATTTATAGTAATTTTATTAGAAAGGAAAATCCAAGACAGCCAGCCATTTGACGGGAAGTGTATAATGGAAGAAAATGAATCCTTTGTGTATCCGTACGCTGCCTTTGGACTTTGTGCCACCGATCTGGGGGTAGAGCAGCCTTATATGGTGTACGATCCATCGCATCAAATTCCTTCTAGCTGCTATAATGGTTGCAGTCCCTCAGTGGAATCAGTGTTCTCCAGATTCGCGGATCTACCTCGTGGTAAGACAATTGCTTCCGATAAAGAAAAACGTAATTCACACCCGGAGCGTACAACTTCCCAAGGTTTTTGTCCGAGATGTGGTAGCCGAATAATTGATGCTGGAAACTGGTGCTCTTCTTGCGGCGAACTTCTGATTGGCGCTAGTTTGTGTTCTTCTGATTTGAGCGACTGGAATGCAACCGGAGCTTCTTTCCAACCACTTCAAATGGCCCACGCTGAGCCCGTGAATTTCACTGCCGAAATTTTTCCTTTCAGTGTTGGAAACACGGGAAGTTATCTACATTCATATTCGCTTGATGAAAATCGTGGCATCTTTGACGAAAATCAGAACATGCATCATCGTGCTACGTCTATGATCGCCGCAGAACCACCGATAGCTGCAGCTTCGTTTGCGTCCACATCTTCTTTGACCACGCCACAAACACGAACTCAACGGGCAGAAGAAACCGCGACAAACACAGGGACTGTTGAACAAACAAGTCAAGCATTTCATGTTGCCGAAACGAGTGTACCTCCTCCCGCACCGATTGAATCGTTGCAATCAGTATTTGATGAACTTCACTTAAAGAACGAGCCACCAGTTTCGCTTGGCGCTTTACAGTACTTGGATTCAACGCATCAAGAGTATGCAGCACCGTGTTTTAAGACCATTCATGCTGAATCACCTCGGTTTGCATCTTCACATCCGGAGTCGTTAGGATTTTTCAATACCGTTTACGCAGCCTATTGTAATCCACCCAGTAAAATGGACTGCACCCCAATGGCCCGTGTGATACAGCAGCTCAACGCCGGCCGACAGCGTTGCATTTCAGGACCGGTAAGAGATAACCAATTTCCCACTGAAGGTGCAATGACAGGTGAATTTCGTCGTTTCGAATACCCGTTCTTCGCTCCACCCATGGGTAATGCTCCCAGATCTTTTGTTTCTTCTTTCGGCTCCCCGGCTCAGGAACCTCCATTGTACTTAACGGACTCATGGTCAGCCTCTTCTACGATTCCATTCACATCACAGGGCTTTCCTTCTGCGGCTCAATCATCCCTAAAACCGGAAATGTTCCCCGCCGCAGATCCATATCCTTCTAACATCCCTACTTACAACTCCATTCCAACGCTGCGTCGCGATCTGCGTAGAGGTGATGGTTCTCGACGTACGGGTAGTCGACAGAGGCAAAAGCATGTTTCGGAGTGCTCCAAGTCACGGATGATTCCGACAGTGCATGNTGCATGGTGATCGGACTGAAACCGCTTTTCGACCGCGTAGTTCGAGTTCGGATCTTCGACGTTCCACAGTTAATTCTGTGAGTCTTGTGCCCACCATGGATGATTATGCACATTACTACTGGCCCTCTTCTCGCATCGCATGGTCCGCTCATAATCCTGCCTCGTTGAAAAAGAAGTAAGTTCGATTTTAATTAACTTTTGCCTTCTTGTTGCTAATTAAACTAAGTTTTGAACTGATTTTTTTGTAGTTTTATGATTAAATTAGCGTCAAGGTCTAAGATAGGCTGAGAAAATCGTTCAAAACCAGGAGCGGTGTTCTTCAGGGGTGCCCTATTTCTAATTCAATTTCGTCGTAGACGAAACACTGTAGTACTCACTTATCTCCAAAATGTGGGTATTGAATGAGCAGCTGGAGAAAACTGCGATTTAGAGTAAGCTGACGACGTTTGTCTGTTCGAATGTCTAGAGGATTCGCAAAGCGTTCTTGACAAACTTTCAACTTCTGTTACTCCATTTGGTATACGCCCTTCACCTTCAAAGTGCAAAATGATGCGACAAAATTGGGTGTCATCTTCACTTCAGTTCAGTTCAGTTTAAACAACCGTTAATCATGCATACTCGTGCGCCGGTTTTGGTTGCTGTCTTTTGGCTGCCCATTTGGATAAAGAATAGGAGAAGAAAGGAATCTTGAAAGTGGAGTCGAAAAGAAAATGGAGTTCATTGGTCTAAGGTTGCAAAGAGATTAAGAAGATGCACGAACGCCACTGGTTGCGACAACCAGCCATATCACTCAGTGTCTCTGACCATCGGTTACGATCATCCCGAGGTCCCCATCCAGGGAGCCTAACGGGACCTATGTGACCCAGTCCCCTGGTTAGGGTTTTCATACCCTCGTGCCAGGTCTTATCTTGACCACCCTTGTCTTTTTTCACTCTGTGTCTGCTTCGGCGAACATCGCTCGCCGTAGTAACCGATCTGGGTGCCATCTACCCAAACTGTGATGCTTGATGGTCAAGAATTAGCTCTAGTGGAATGTTTCTCCTACTTAGGTAGTTGTACAATAAATGACGGTAGCATAGTCAATGAAGTAACCGCCCTTATTTTTAAAATGCGGGCGGAAATATCATCAGCTTTTTATGTTGTTTTCTGCATGAAGCAAGCAATTATCTATTGTAATACTCCCCACAGTTTTTGTTTGTTTTTTTGGGAGGATTTACGGGATGCCACTGAGATTGACGAACATACAGAGGTCAGCGTTCAAACGACTGTTGGTACCAGGGGTAAATGATTGTCCCTTTTTCATTACATACATTTGTATGGTGAACACCATGAGGTTAACCCCATACTCACGAAGAGCTGCTGCTCCCTCATGGAAACTGGTAACCTAAGCCCCGGGACATAGAGCGGCGAACCACATAAGGCTCCGCTAGGTTAGGCGTGGCATTGAACCGGACGACAGCAAAGCTGTCTACCACCAAAGTTGGGTGGCGGTGGCGATGGCGGGGCTCAGACCATAGGGTCCAAAGCACGCCAGTGACAGCGATTAAATCACTGCGTCACCACCACCCTTGGATAAATTACTTCCTTTATAATGTTTTCCGAAACAGGCTACGGATGTCTGGAACTTGAGCTTGAACTCAGCATCTGTCTTATATATTTTTTTCTTTTTTTACTTGGAGATAGTGTTGGATTTTATTCGACGGTATAACGACTTTCTTCACACCGATGAGATCCAACAAGGTTAAAAACAACTGTGCAGTGCATCCTAGACTTTCAATTCAAAATTCGTCCTTTTTGTACCTGCCAGACATTATATGCTTCATTCTTGTCGCCAAATAGAAATTTAACTCGGATGGAAAACGCCACTTCTAACTTAAATGGAATATGTTTGCTTGTGCTCTGTGTTTGGATCTACTCATGCGGCATGAAGTTTCTGTTTGAGTAAATGTTGCAGCCGAATTCAATTGTGCTGTGCTTGATGATAAACGCCTGTTTTTCTTAGGATAATATTTAAATGCTGCTTCTCCATTTAGCCTTAATGTGTCATTTTGTCGGAGAAGCCTAAGGAGTAGTGCGAAGCTGTTTCATCCTTTGAAATTTAACGGATCTAATGAGGCCACAACTTGATCCTACAGAATTCGTAATTCAACGCGCTAGCTACCAGATGTACCCGAGCAGTCCTCTGAATACTGCAATGACCCACAACACCATCGTGAAAACGAACCTCAGTTTTGAATTACCATCTTAGTTTTTATTATGTACTCTCTCAGCACCCTTTATATGTCGAACTGGTGGCTAAAGTCATTAACTACTTGGTTCGCGGTAGCAGTGCATCTATTTTCATTGCTAGAAATATCCAGCATCACCAGATCATCATAGTATCATTGTTAGCCTTTTTCACCAGATGGTTTTTAGTCAACAAAATTGCAAAACTATGCTTGGAGTCCAACGTATATCAATGTGATTCGGCAGGCAATGTATCTGGGATTCATCTCGTTCACTAAATTTTGCGCCTTATTTTTCAAATGACCAAATTTTTACCTCAGTGATCAGTCACATTTATCAAAACCCGGTGAGTTTCATCTCCTTCCACGAGTATACTCAACCCTACAGACTATACGGGTAGATTTATGACTAAAATCTAATTGATAGGATGCGAATTTTAAATCAAGTCACCTCACGTCACTTCTCAACTCCTTATCTTTTTGAGTCACATTTGTCCGAGAAAGTTCAGGAACAGCAGGAGCTAGATGGAGGTAGGAGCGGGGTACCTGGAGCCGTTGAAATGTACAGTGCACAGTCGGCTAATGACTAGAATCCAGTCAAGAAGCGAGCGCTCAGTTTTGGCACTTGGCGCAATTCCGACACCAGCAACACCGCGAGATTCGGATGCTGAACCGCGTGACAAACGAAGGGTGAAGCGTGAGGTTGGGTCAGGAGAACGCAGGGAGACAATTGACGTAGGGTCTTGTATGCGTATATATATATGATGTTCAG